GCCTACAATATTCTCACTAACTGCAAGCAAATCAGTAAATTAAGTGTGGCATAGATATTTTGCATCCTGCCTAATTACAGCAGTGCTTTTTTTTGTCAAAAAAATTCATGCTGTCACAAGTCTGTTTTCATCTATATAGTTTACCTAACCAGACAGTGTCTCAAATTTGTCTTAGGAAATTATTAGCTATTATTAATGAATTTTGTGAAACTCTTTTGCAATGGGAAGAATAACAAGCATACTTCAAAGATACTTCAAACATACTTCTTAGATCACCAGTTATCAGCCTTTGAATTTTTTGATTGAAAATTTTGTCTCTGTTCTTACTATATTTTACTCTAAATAAACTTTCACCTATAAATAGTTTTATAACTTAATTTGATTCCTGAGAAGTTATTTCAGTTTATTTTATGACAGTTTTTATGCTGCTGCTGTTTTATAAATATGATGTTTGTTAACTTCTGGTTTAAATCAAACTCTTTTTTTTCAGAAAAAAACAATTATTCTGTATCCCACTATAGGGAAAATGAGACACATTGAAATTATTCTTCCTCAACTGTGGAAGCTACAAAAAGTGTAGATATTTTTAAATATTTTAGTCAAAATCATTAAATAAATGGATACTGAGACAAAAGAAATGGAACAACTGTATGGTCTAAAATTATTAAACTCACAAAGAAAATTAGTATCATAAACTTTATCTCAGTCTAGAAGAAAGTAATTCTATGGATTCACTAAAAATTCTTATTTAATGACAGGTTCACTGTGTGTCTTAATAATACAGCTAATAAAGGGCCTCATGCCCAAGCTATAGTAAATGATTAATTTACAAAGACTATTTTTCCTTACCTACTTTATTGCTTGATAAAGTCAAGAATGTTTTTCAACGGGTGGAATCTGCATTGAGTCAATGGTCTTGTACAGAGAATGTAGCCCATATAATTCTGATTACAATTAAAATTGCTTGAAACAAGTCTTTCTATTAGGGAACTAAAATTTCCAGTGTAGGAAGTAAAACTTTTTCATAACAATATTGTCCATGAGAAGGGTGTTTTTCTCTCAATGTTTTATGTCACAGTATCATAGAAGGCCTTGGCTTGGAAGGGACCCAAAAAGATAATCTACTTCCAACTCCTCTTTCATGGGCAGAAACACCAGCCATTAGATCAAGTTCTCAGGACCCCCATCTAACTTATTAGTAGTTACTACTAATTTAATTCCAGGAAATTACACTATGACTATATATTTTTCCATTTTTGGAGGGTCAAATTCTACTTTTAATTTACTTCCCTACTGCATTACAAATACTTGAAATGGCCTTCCAAATTTACACGCAGAAATACGACTTCATTAACTCATTCCATTCACAAAATTATTGTATTTTCAGCTTTTGCCAGTGAACTACATTGGCTTAATCAAGGCAGCATGGATAAATATCTCTCTCTATATTCTGACTCCTAGGTCAGGTATGGACTGATTCAGAAATACAGTAGTCCAGCACTGATGAAAATTATTACCGTCCCTCAGTCCTACTAAGCAGATATCTTTTGTGCCAGAGTAATTCTCTGCTGCTCTTTTAGACACACTGAAAGGCCAGAAAAGGGTATAAAAGGGCCTAAGCAAAAGACTGGATAAGGTCTTTGATATTCATAGTGAAAGAATTTTGAAAGGGAAAACCTCATTAAGAAATGCAGCAAGGGCATGATTCAACTGGTTTCACAAGCCATATCCACCTCACATCAAAGGCAGTCTGGTCTTTTGAGGTTGGCTTGTCAAACTGAATTTAAAACTGTCTTTCCTGAGTAGTTATCAAAGGTTTGTAATGACAGAACTGAGATAAATGCTTTTGATCCAGCTGGTCGTGATTTCTCCTAATGTTTCTTACTTTGAAACCTCTACCTCATTTTTCTAGCCAATTATACATACAGTTATATGTATACAAATGCTCAGGAATCCCTCTCCATCTTAGTAAAAGTGACAAAACCCTGAAAAGACAGAAGAGGCTGAGCTTGGCCTAATTTGTTATCCATGCACAGTGTCTAAAGCAGCTGAAATGTAGACTATTTAGGCATAGAAATCTATAATATCTCCACAGACAAGACTTTGACTGTGGAGATAAAAGTGCTCAGTACTGGATGATTTCTTTTCCTTGCTGGTCTTGCTCTCTAAGCAGGGACATATGATTACTATTTTTATAATAATTCTAGTCTTGACGGGATACACCATGAGGAGTAATTCAGCTAATTCAGAGAAATGCATTCTATTTTTCCCTATAGAAATTGTATTACAAATTGTTGACAAGTTAGAGAAAGCTGAAAAAATTTTTTAATTTAAAGTCATCAAATAAAAGAAAACCGTAAGCTTTAAAAAGAATGTAAAACTATTAAATAGCCTTAATTATAAATATTTCCAAATTTTCTGATAGCTGTACAGAATCCTGAATATTTAGTACCTGTTGCAGAGCTGTTCCCCAGTCATGTTTGGGCCTTTGTGAACATGGATTTGGAAATTTGACTGAAGACTGGAAGCAAATTCTGACTGAATTGTTCAAACAGCCACGACCAGAGCTTTAAAGCAATTACTCCATTTCCAACTTTTCCTTATGTATTTTTATTTTACCCTTGGGAAAGTAAAAAAAAAAATTAGTAATGTTTCCTTAGAGAAAAAAAAGATAGAAACACAACCAAACTCAAAAATGTTAGCTCCTAAATATGATTTTGAAAATGAATTTTGTTCTGAATAGCTGAGAGCATTTCAGCAACAGACTAGGTGGCCCCAATCACTTTATGAGGTACTTATGAACAGCATTTGCTGTCTTTTTACCAGCAACTCAAGAGTGCCTTCAGCTATATTTTGTTAGCTGTCTTAATTGGAATAGAGGAATGAGAAAGTATGTTTTACTTTCAGTGTGCAAATATCAACTTATTGATTTATTTCAGTTGAAAGACAATGGAATAAATAAGAACTTTCTATGCCAGAAGAAATATCGAAGTGGTAGGGATTTTGATTAGGGGTACACAAGATTATTTGCACTGAAGTCTGCAGAAGTTTTGGTTCTTTGCATTTTTTAAATGGTGTTCAGTGTTTACGTGTCCAAATATCTGCTTAGAAAAAAATTTAACAATCTCAGAAGTCTTAATCATGGTTTATGATTTTGGGAATCAATTCACTTACCGACATATAGTTGTCTACTTACATTTAAATTGCTTCAGGGTGCCAGCAGTCATGTTTTTTTCTACTGGTTTTTCTACTGTACTATTTTCCATATCTCTCAGCCTGGAAGGAAAGTCAACATAACTTAAATGTCACAAAAAATGTTTTATCACTGTCTGTGGATAGCTGAACCAAGTCACATCTTTGAAAATAAAGATAAGATCCTTGCAGACACCTATATGTAAATGTTTATATTTACATTTATATTACTGTAACTGTTTTTGGTAAAATTTAAATATTTTTAGTGCTGTTCTTTAGGCTCAGATGACTTCTCTGAGTGTAACAGCAAGTTGGACACTGTAGACATCCACAGATTAACAGAATTGGATGCTTTAATATTGATTTCATCTGTAGATATCTGATAATCATAAATAAAGTTAAATTTGTTAGGTCTGGATCCAAAGAAATAATTGTAAAAAGTGTATTTTTATAAAAGTGTATTAATATCTCTCACAGTGGAGTATGGATTCTCCTGGGTGTTTTAGTCAGAGTACAGGTATGGCTGTCAGGCACTACCAAAGTGTTCTCAGGCTTCAGTGACATATTTAGTGATTGTACAGCATTTCCTTATTCATCAGCATCCATACCAATGAAATGTAATGGCAAATGCACATTTAAATGGCTCTGAATTCATGGAGTGCTTAGGACAGTAAAAGCTTCCAAATGAGTAATTGCTTTACAGAGACAGCTTTCACATCTGAAATTGCTTAGTGGTTGGACTTTAAAATAGCCTGTGTTTCTATTAGTTAATCTCCAGGCACTATATAAAAGGCAACAGACTGCAAAAAGATTCATACAGAATGGATACAGCATGGTATTAGGGGGAAAGAACAATCAGAACTATTTCCTCCTGGGACCCATTATAAACAGCAGAACGAAACAAGTTTCTTGCCTGCAGATGCTTACAAACATAACATCATTTTTGTTAAACCACATTTTTATAAATTCAAGTTTAAAATACTCTTCAGAAGTTGTCCATGACTTTCCAACATAACTTTATCCTCATAAAACATTCTGATGAAGAAAAACAACACACCGTGCTTGGGGGTTATAATTTTCTTGCAAAGTAGACATGTTGCTGTTAGTGTGGGTAAGAATTATCTTCAGTGTAAGCAAGAACCTTGAAACTGATGTAGCAATTTTTAAAAATCCATGTTTAAAATGTAATGTGACACTCCTATCTGCAACACATTTCATATTTGATCTCTACTATATTCTAAGTGTAAAATTCATGCTGGAAATGTGTTCCTATTGATAGATCTTTATGTGGAATTTTTTGAATATCAGATCCTGTTTTCCATATAGTTTGTGCTTCTTAATAATTTGATGCACAGCAAAAACACAGAGAAACTATAATAAATGGATTGCATATTTCTTCCTTGTCTGAATTACCAGTTATAAGTTTGCACTTCCACTCCTATCTCATAGATGGTGAGCTTAGGCAGCAACCCTGCTTAGGTGATTTTCAGCCTATAGAGATGAACCTGCACATCATTTGTGGTGCTCTTGACTGAATATGCAGTAATGAAAGAATGAAAATATTCATTAGCAGAAAGAAATATCTTCCTTCCTCTTCAGGTGGACAAAGTACTAAATAGCATGTGAGACTGGTAATAATATTGAAAACTGTGTTTTTTCACTGTATGAGACTCACATGATTTCAAATATTATGTAATTTTTTTTTCTATTTTCTGATGTCAGATAAAAAACCAGATACTCATTGTTTTTACTTCTGCAATTCTGAGCTCTTGTTTTGTTAACCTTTTTATTTGTGTGGACTTTCTTAGGTTATATTCAGTTGGAGGTCGGGATGGAAGTTCATGTTTGAGCTCAATGGAATATTATGATCCTCACACAAATAAATGGAATATGTGTGCTCCTATGTGTAAGAGAAGAGGAGGTGTAGGAGTGGCTACCTGTGATGGCTTTCTTTATGCAGTTGGAGGTCATGATGCTCCTGCTTCTAATCACTGTTCTCGTCTGCTGGACTACGTGGAAAGGTATCAATTTATATATGCATGTTTTAAATACAAAATAATATCTGGTTGCATTATTTTCTTAGCTTAGTGATGGTAAATTCAAACAGATGTTCTTAATCCTAGAAATGTCTAATTAGTACTTGAAAAATTCTATAAAGGTGTATGAAAGACAATCTCTTTGAAACTTATGGTAATCCCTTTTTATTCACAGTACTATCATATATTACCACAAACACAAAAAACCACCCTTTACACATCCACTTATGTAATTTTAAAACACTGTTATTTGTGACACTATGCATTGAAGTGTCACAAACCAAAAATTGTAGAGATAAAACTTTTTCCTTGAAAAGATTTTATAACACAAAATTGAATTGCATTTAGAATATTTTCTAACTCCAAAAACATAGCTAAGCAACGAAGAAATAAAGAACTGTCTACGTGATGGATATTCACAGTACAATGAATTCCTTCGTTTATCAAAATTGTTGCTTTTTAATGTGGTGGTATAAGCCTAATACACTTCATTTACCGTACCCTGAATTTTGCAAGTAGATTTTCTACAAATCCAAGAATATCTAGTAGGGCAGTACAGCACAGATGAAGTGATTAAAACACTCAATTTACAGGTATTCTTCAAATTTTTCCTGAATGTTTTACTTTTTTTTTTTTCTGTTTCTCAATACTATAAAATAATAATGAAAATATTCACTCCAAATGTGTACAGATTGCAAAAGTTAAAGTAGGTATATTTGAGTAATTGCTTTATCTTAACATATAAGATGGGAAAGATTTATCTCATTATTTCTTTTCAGAAGGGCTTGATTAAATGTCAGTAATTTCCTCTGCTAAATACAACTTGGTATTCAATATTTAATTGAAAAATTATAAGTGAAAACTCCTTATGTTATCCATATGATTTTGCTCAGTCTTAGACTCATTGCCATCTCTGCTGTATGTAAGCAAAAATCATTGGCAAATTCTTCTCATCTGCAACAGAGGGACAGTTAATCAGGGAAATCCCATGATGTCTGTACTTACAGAGCCTATGCTTGTAGACCTTTATTTATAAGGAACAATAAAAAGAATTTTCACTTAAATAAATTTATAATAAGACTACTAGTGGCAGTCCTGAGATATTTTCAACTGCTTCTGCTTATTGGTACTCAGAAGGGAGTTTATATTTAATTTTTCTTTCACTGAGAAGAAAACCCTTCTGGTGTTGATGACAAACCATACTCCATTGCATTCGTCTTTCTCAGGAGAGACTGCAAAAATTAGCTAAACCTATCATTATGCTGTTTTATGTACTTGTATTAGAGTGACAGTATATAGTATCCCTCATCTAGATATTTTTTCCACTGGTAGCAAAAGGTGTGGATGATGTACTTCATCAATAGTTAGCTTTGAGGCTAAAAGTTCGGGCTAACAAAAACTTGTAAGACTATAAACTTACTTTGAGTGGATGTGAATTAACTGGTGGACTCCACTGAAATGTGAAAAAACTCTCATGGCCCTCACAGTGATTGATTAGTTTATAGGATGGCTAGAATGCTATTTAGTGTGTCTGGTTTTTTTATTCCAAAATAATGCATCATTTCCAAAAAATAAAAGCCCCTCAATATCTTAGGAAAACAAATAGTAAGTGATGAAGAGGTCTATTAGTCTGAGTAATTTTACATCTCTAAAAGTTTTTCTGTCTGTAAATATTGAAGGCTTGTTTTTTGACTAAGTCTCTTCCTCTTCAGGAATGAGTCTGCTTCAGTCATTCTGATGCAGACTGGTGGGATGTGCTTTATTCCAGTACCAATTTCTTCCTGGAAGACTGTCAAACCAGACATAATATTTTAAAATCTATTTTTTGACATTATGCAAACATAGTGGAGCCAGCATATATGTGTTTTCTTATGCTACTGCTAAAGTACTGCTCTACAGTAGTTAGGTATTCCAGTTTACGTTCTTCTAAGGTTGATGCAGTTTTAAAGGATTTCCTCTGGATTCGGGCATTCTCAAATAATAGTTACGTTTCACTCATCTTCACAAGTTGGCAAAGTGCAATCTTCTATTCCTTTTTAAAGGCAAAACAACTACTTCATAAGAATTAAAAAATTTTCAAGATATTTTGGCAGATTTCGTAAAGCAACTTTTCTTTTTCAAATGTTACTCAAAACTTGACAGATGCTAAAAACATAGTCATTTGACCTATAGTTTTTTCCCCCTTTGTCTCACTTTGGTTTCAAAATTGATTTCTTTCCACATTCAGGAGCTTTTATCATAACTCTATTCAGCCTGGGGCATACTTAGCTATTATAGAGATGACATATACAGTTGCTTTTTAGTGGCATAAAGGATGTAAGAAATCTCAGGTATTTTCCTGGAAGTTACAAAACCAACAAGTTCTTGTGCAGTTCTATTTTGTTGACAGAATTAAGTTATAAGAATTAATTTTAGCCTTGCATACCAGTTTATTGGAAGAAGAAGAAGAAGAAAAAATAAAGGTCAAATGATGATGTCAGTTGTATTGTTTTCCAGCTTTAACTTTTGCACCTCCTCACCTTGGCCCTTGTAATTTAAGAGATGTGTATGGAGGAGTCTATTAAACATTTATTACCTTTAGGTAGGCAAAGATACAATGCACACTGGTGCATTTCACTGGATGGGAAATTGTTTCAGCTAGAGGCATATGATGCTGTTGTTGAAAACTCACACAGTCTTTGAAAAAACTCCATTAAAAATATTTTTTTTGGCTTGTTACCTGGTCATTTCACTTCTAGATATTCAAGCAATATTTTGCAGTATTTTCCTCTAAAGTTAGGAAAGACGTTTATCATATATCTAGATATTTGACATCTTATTTTCTGAGAAGTCCCCCAAATGCCAGGATTAGCAGCTAGCATGCAAGTAGATTGTTTTCTTAAAATGTATTTACCTCTCAAGAACAATATGAACAAGATTACAGACAATTTTTTTATTGTCCAATTTAAAAGTTATATTTATGAACCAAAAGGCTGGTAAAAGCAAAACACTGTAGCTTTGCTGTTTCAGTGCTTGTACTAATATATATATATGTATAATATTTCATTGTTCAAATATGTAGGACTTCAAACAGTATCCCTCCAAGCTGCTTATTGATAATATGGCTTATGACTTAAATACTTACACATCTAAGCAAATTAATAAAATCAGACTTTTTAAAAGATTTGTAGACCAAAACAGCTTATTTTCTCCACTGATCACATGATTCTATTACATAGTAGACTGCTTAAAGACAGATTAAATTAATGTTATTACACTGTAATACACTATTCTGTTTTAGTAATGTTTAACATCTAAAAATGAGGTATCTAGTGTAACCTAATACTCCAGACATTCTTGGTAACAAACTATCAAAAGATAATCAATTTCTGGTTTTTGCATGTCCAAAAGAGTTACAGTGGAATGACTTCTGAAATCAAACTATTTTACTTTGTTAAGGAATATCTAAATGAAAACCTAGATTAAATATTTTATTTTTAAATTACCTTGATTATACGAAAGGAATTTTACCCTCTGTTTTAAAAATTCAGTTGTGATTATGACTAAAAAACAGTATTGCTTTATCTACTTGAGCAAATATTAGGAGGAAACACTAATTCTAATGCAGTTAAGCATGAGAATACATAGGGAGATTTTTACTGTTGTATAGTATAATTTCAGAGATTAAAATATAGTGAAATTTAATTTTAGAAATAATATTTCTAATATTTTGGATGTGCTACAGGAAATACCCCACTTTTAATGTATACATAACATATAAATAAAATTTTATACCTATCAATTCAGATATTGCTCATATATCTTTCTCAGATCTCTTTATGACACACTATCCTACAAACAGCTTCGTTTATTCTAGAATGTTAGCTGAGCAAAAGTTTTCTAATCAACATCTAGAGGGTTGAATTGTGAACACAATAAATCTGTGTTTTCTTTTTGATAGGAAGAATTTTTTGGATAGGATATTAAAGGTTTGGTTTTCACACCCCAGGAAAGGACTATATTGAAGTGAAAATCAACATGGATTGATGCTTGTCTTCTCTCCACATACCCAGTTTCATTTTTATTTGCTCAGGTATGACCCAAAAACTGATACATGGACAATGGTGGCTCCACTGAGTATGCCTCGAGATGCTGTTGGTGTTTGTCTCCTCGGTGACAAATTATATGCAGTAGGTGGCTACGATGGTCAATCATACCTGAACACTATGGAAGCATATGACCCTCAAACTAATGAGTGGACGCAGGTAATTATAAAGTTTTTTAAATATATACACATGTGCACATACACATATGTATGTATGAATTAGCCATTAGCCAAGCTTTCTTTAAACCTAGTGCAGAAAGGTTCATATTTTGGAATCATGATCTTAAAATAAGCATTTAAAATAGGTGAGATGTATTCTACTCAAGAATGCCCATTTCCTTTTATGATTGCAAGGGGGAACTTCTGTTGACAAGCTTGAATGCAGACACAAATGCTTTAAAGCCCATCTTTTTGCCCATCTTTTAAAATTTACTATGAATTACTGAGAAGAGCATTTTTATGACATTCTGTAGGAGATATGAAATTAATTTGGGAATATTCTCTTTTTGCAAAACCAGCACGTTAAAAACCATTAATAAACATGATTATTAACATAGGTAGTTTGGAGACATATACAACTACAGAATGTTGCTACATACATATAAGCTGACTCTACTGTGATAGTTTCAGCAAGATTCAGTCCCCTGAAGCTTTTAATCCTTGTGTTGTCTTGAATACTGTTTAAAATTGCCAAACATATTCTAAAGGATACTTGAACCTGTTTAGGAATACTGGAACAATTTATGTATTGGTAGCTTTCACCTTGCCTCAAGGACTGGAGTGGAAGCATCAGCCACAGTCTACAGACTACAGAAACCCCTTGCACATAAATGGTTCACAAAATTGATGACAACTCTAAAATTAATTCCTGCTTTCTGTTCTCAACTTTCAAATGAAAGATGTCAGGTGTGAGTAAGCAATTTTAAATTACAATAGTAGCATAATGTGGATTTTTTTTTTTTTGTAGCAATTTATACTCCCATTAGTTTTGACCATTTTGAAATAATTTTGACACAGCACTTTGACACAGCACTTTGACAAGTGATGTGGATTTTTTTTTTTTTTGTAGCAATTTATACTCCCATTAGTTTTGACCATTTTGAAATAATTTTGACACAGCACTTTGACAATCTATGCATGGCTTGTTCCTGTTTGGCAATCTTTTGCATTATTTTCTCCTATTCAGTTAATTTGTGTCTGTTTTTCTGCAGATGGCTTCCTTAAATATTGGAAGGGCTGGTGCCTGTGTTGTAGTCATCAAACAACCATGACTTTGTCAGCACTGCTTAGGATTTTACTGACTGTGAAATGATTATTTTTCTATGAGACAAAGAGAATGATAACTTCACAAGAACAAGGATCTACACAGTGAATACACTGTTGATCACAAACTTGAAGAAGTTTGGAAGTGACAAAGATTAAGTATTTATGTCCTATAAAATCAGAAAACCGTTCACAGTCAGTGAACAAGAAAAAAAGCCCCCAGAGTATTGTAGGCGTAAATATGTGAATGTAGAGTAGTGAGTTCAGGTATTGCTCTCATGAATGTGTCCTGAAGAACTGGATAATCATGGGAAGTCTACACAAAGAGTGGAAAGGAAAATGAGAACAGTTTTCATGGCTGCAGGAGAACTGCAGAAATATGAGCATATATTTAATCAATTTTAAACTCTGTTTTTTAAGAGAGAAAAGTGGATAGTAATATAATTTTTTTGCTGTTCAAGTCTTGTCTTCAAATGGGTTATGGTCTTCTCATTTAAATGAGCAGTTTGACTTTACTGAAGGGAAGAGGTCAAATGGTCTGAATATTCATAATGACTGAGTTGTGACTCTAAAGCAGGAAGAAACACAAAACTAAAAGTAGGCTTTTTTTCGTAATTTCAGATTGTACCTCCTCACCCATGTTAATGCATCTTATAAATGATTTTATTGAGGGGGAAACCTGTGTGTTTAATCAAGTAATATAAAGCAGTCCTGTGGCTGCAATGGGGCTTTGTTGCAAATATGGGAGTCAAAGAAACAGTGACCTAATTCTTTCTTAATCTTATATTCAATTTAAGCATGTGGGCTCTAACCTCACTGTTTAATGCATCTACTGCATGTTGGGAGCTCATGACAAGCTGGAAAATTGATCCCTTTATTTCACTGCATCATGTTAATGGATGAACCGTGACAACAACAGTCTATAGAGACTCTTCTAACATTTCAAGAGGGAGGAAAAATCCTGCATTTTATTTCTTTCTGATTCTTGTAGATACACAATTTTGCCTACTTAGAGCTGCAAATTTATGACTTTCCACTTATGAATCAGAATAAATGCAAGTGGAATAAGGAAAATTAGACCATTTGATCGAATACATTTCATATGGTAAATATACTAGTGTCATCTGTGCTTCCCTTTAGGAATTTCTGCCAGTAGTGATAGTCTGAGCTTTTGATTTGGCAGTAGATTTGGTGCTGATGCTTTCTGTCTGCTCAGTTGAATCAGTTAGGACCTAAGGCCACTACTGGAATATGAAATTCTGCTATTCAGGGATGCACAGCTTCTGGGAACAGTGCACCAAATATACTTCTCTAAAGCCTGGCTGATCCTATAGGAAACATTTCATGGCCCAAAGCCAGAAACTTCACAATCCTCTGTCACTAGCAATTTTGAGAAGGAATACTGGTTGCACTAAAATGAGTTCTCGTAGTGGAAATCTCTGCAATCATTTGAGATGAAAAAAATATGTAGAGTTTCCATCATTTGATTTGAAGATGTGCTTTCCTTCTAACTTCATCAGTATGCATGGAGGTCTTTGTTTACTGATGTAAGTTGAATTGCAATTCTGAAGTCTAAGTATATGGATTTAAATCTTTTTAATATTTCTCTGTCCTCATTTGGAATCAGCTGAAAACACTTCAACATTAATTTTCCACAGCCAGTTGCCTTTTGAATTGCAATTAGTCTTTCACAAACAAACATATGAATTTTTCTCCAACTACAACAAGTTGTTGAATAAAAAATGTTAAGTCTCTAAATATTTTGCTTCACATAAACACAAGTTTTGGAGACCAAATTAAGAAGATTTTAGAATTATAACTGTAATTAAATATAGATATTGGCATTCAGAACTCCTACAGAGATAGCTAAAGAACTTAGAAATTGAATTTTAATTCTATTCCCAGAACTTTCTTTTTATTTCATTATATTAATATATAATAGAAATATTATTGCTCTACCTATACACAGATCTCAAAGTTGGATTATTCCTATTAATTTAATTCTGCACCAGATTCGTTTTAAGTGCCTTGATCATTATTTTCTTCCATTTGTCCTCATTTCATTTTTGGTTCTCAATTGCCTTTTTTACTTTTTCAATTTGCTTTTATTTTACCAAAATGATTCTCATGTGAATTTTTTCAGTCTATTCCTCTTATCTTATTCTGAAACAATAAAATTAGTATTTGTTTTATTTTGATTATGTAAAATCTAGCCACAATAAGAACCACAATTGACTTTCATATTTATACAAGTGCTACAAGTGTCTTCTAAAGAGAATTTGTGAAAAATTTTCTTTTTTTTTTCTTAACCATTATGTTTACTTTCAGTAAAAATATTGATAGTTTTACCTTTTTCTCAAAAGGAATGTGTTTAAATCCAAGTACTATGTAATTGTAGTCTTGATTTCTGTGATTCATTAAGACCCATTTTTTTATGTATAAGAGATAAAATCACTTCTGATGCACTAAATTGTGCTAAACAATGTTAAGTTTACTTATTAAAGAAAGCCGCTCTTTTCAAAAAACAGGTGACCTTGTTCATCTACCATGATTTCTTTTCTCTCAGATAACCTCTTCAATGTCAAAGTATAGAAATCGCAGTGAAATCAGAGCTGCAACAAACATTTATTTCACTGAAATCAATGACTAAATTCCTTGAAATGTAGATATTTCATAATATGTTGGAACCCTTGTATATCTACCCATAAAAATGTCAATTAATAGCTATTCTTTAGTGGAGCTCTTTAGTATTGACATTATGTGATCCAATTTTATAGAAAAGTTTTGCATTGTTGTCAAAGTCACAAGTAAGCTATGAATATTGTTTAATTGGCTTCAGTTACAATTGTTCAATAATTATTTTAATATATGTTCTTGTAATCAAAATACTGATATTGTTTAGAAACCATAAGTAAATTTTAAAAACTCCTTTTACATATAGAGCAGCCTTTTTATTCATATGAAAATTCCAATTATTAAGGCAATATTAGGATGCTTTCAGGGAGTTGCCTGCCTCATAATTTTACTCTGTTAAGCTAACATTAATTGATGTAAGGGAACCATTTTAGCATAGACAAAGAATCATTTCCTTGGATACCACTTTCTTCTACAGAAACCTGCCGTCAATTGACCATTATTTTAAAATCACTTAAAATATATCTAGAAATAGATATTTATTATATCTATAATCTTATCTGTATATATTATTCAGATACTTTCAATATGTTTAGAAGGCCCATATAAATTCCCTTAAATATGTTTATGTCTTAAACATTTTATATTATTTCAATAAGAGTAACTCACAAAATAAATTTGAGTTATGCAAGTTATATGCAAGTTTTAATGGCTCAGACCTTGATGTCCATGAGCAAAAAACCAGAAATGCTGTGCATTGTGATTATGAATCAAATACACTTTTTCCACAAGGGAATTTACATTCTGGAAAACTTTCCTTATTATTTTGCCCGCAATGAGCTGGGGAAAAGAAATGTGACCTATGACCTATGTTATCTATGAATTTGCATTAGTTTTTCATGAGGAATAAATAGAGAAGGCATTTCCACAAAGGCTTCATGAAAGCTCTTGTAAATTTTAACAAATAGCAGTAATAGACTGGATCATTTAAATTTTTAAAATACCAAATTATCTGATTTTTGCATTTACTTTACCAAGAAAATGTGCGTACACTAGGTAATGCAGGCTCACTGGCAGCTCAGAATCTCAATGTTAAAGTAACTCCAGATATATTTCTTTAAAAACAGATTATCCATGCAATATATCTGTTCTAACTTAAATGACAATACATAAAACTTTCAGCAGAATAATTATTCTTCAGCATTATTTTAAATCCAGTGTAAAGCTACTCAAATTGGCATAACCTTGCAATTCATTGCAAATTCCCTCATTATAGCTCTGTTTCATAGTTCATGGGGACTGAGTACACTTTGGGACAAAGAAACCACTGAAAATCATTATATCAGCATAAGCTTGATTTCCACATGCAGGACTACAGCTGTCAGACATTAAACCACAAAGAAAATTACTAGCACAGGTAAGAATTGCAGTGACAGGGAACAATACAGTTTCGAATCACTGGCTGTTCACAGCTTCACCTTGGGGAATCTATGCAGCTGCCAAATTCATCACCTGCTAAGAGTTGCAAAAATAGTCAAAGCTGATGTATAAGCAACTTAACACTTCTATCACCCCATACTTTCCCAGATTTCCCATGATGATTAAAAAATGCACAGAAATTAAAATAATGATGATAATAAATCCTCTCTTGCAGAAGTCTAGTACTGCTCAGAATTAGGTCTCTGAACCAGGCTCGTGTTCAATATTCTTCACTTAGGTGGCCTATGTTGTGTGTTATGTCTGGTGACATCTTTAGTGAACTCTTTCTAATGTCCCCAACAAAAGTGTTGTAAGAGGGCTGTCTTTAATGGCCTCCAGGAAGAAATGATGTTTCAAAGGTGAGAGGTTTCCATTAAATAGATGAGCATTCAATTTAGCACATAAGTGTCTGATACCATGTGAGATGCCCAAAATTATCTAAGTTGTCCACACTGGGCTGGCACATATGACACAGATGAAGTTGTGGAGTGGTAACAGGAGTTTTAATGGGTTGTAAAGTGTGCCAGATGATATTAGATACCTTTTTGTAAGCAGATAGAATCTATGATCCCTCATATATATATATTTATATATGCATATGCACCCAGTGACACTAATTATTTGAAGTTATTTTCTAACTACCCACCTGTGTGATGGGACAGCCTGAATTAAAAAAAAAAATATTTTCCTTCAGGCTGCTTAAGCTTGAAAATAATAACCTCGATTGTTCAATGAATGATACAAATAGTGAACATCAATGTGATATCCATTAATACTCATTAATGTTGGCAAGTATGGGAAATGCTAACTTGTCGAGATTCTCTTTATATGGAAGATTTTTTTTTTGCATCACTTCAGTCAGAAATGTGTTCTGTAAGCAAATCAGGAGTAAATC